TGTGACCTGAGCCTGAGCCCTGTGCCAGGGCCAAGAAGGTAGCAGTTATAGACTTCTTGGTCGGGGACAGAGGTGAGAGCTTCTCAGGAGTCAGGACAGCCAGGAAGGAAGGCAGGTTCTCTCCAGGGGCCAGCCCAGCCCCACCCAGAAAGGGTTTGGTGTGGTTTGCCCCCCTGCTAAATTAATAGGCTCCGGCCCCTCCCCTGAACGGCCCGATCCTCTGTCCCACTGGCTCTGTCCCCAGTTGGGCAAGCAGGCAGCCATGTGAGGTCCCTGCAGGTGGGGAACCTGCTTTGGAGCCGGGCACAGAGAGGAGGACATTTTTCAAGGATTTTGCTGGCCCTCTTTTTTTTTCCTATGAAATATAAGGATGTGCAATTTTTTTGGTTTCAATTTAGCATTGGAGAATTTTATAATTTAGTAATTAAAATCTCTGATAGGCTTTAGAAATTGCGGCTAATTGAATTTAATGGGAAGATGATTTTCAATTTTATTTGATTACCGGGACCCCTGGCATCGGTATTTATGGGAAAAAAATGGGGAATGTGCTGTGTGGGCTAAGACGGCATAATTGAATTAGGGATAATCGGATTTCTCCGTCATGAATTTCACTATAATTTTCCTATAATTTTCCATTAGATATCTAGTTTACAAATATTCACAAAGAAATGAAGCTCTTTCGGAATGGAGATTGCTGGCTAACAGGATTATGGGGCCGAGCGTGCGGCCCTGCCAGCCCCTGCACGGCCATAATGCAGTCCCTGTATCTGCCTTGCACCGGGCTCCAGCCCGGCCTCAGCCCCTCGCCCCGCCACCCACTTCGCCAACTCCTCTCCGCCCTTTGTTTCCTCTGCGCCTGCGTACCCACCGCCCGGACACCCACCCTTCTGTGGCCGCCACCTCCTGAGCCCCTGCAGACTGTCCTGTCCCTGGGCCATGGTGTCTGGGCGCCGCCCTATGGCCCCACCACCTTCCCGTCCACAGTCTGCTCGCTCCCTCGCTCGCTCTTTGCTCTCCCTGACACCCTCCCTCCCTCCGCCAGCCTGGGGAGTGCGCTCACACGCAAACACATGGACTCCCTCGCAGGTGCGAACACGCTTGTTCACATGCGCACACAGTCCTTTGGCCAAGGCTTCTGTGCCCTGGCCCAGTCGCCTCGGAGGGAACCAGTTTATTGGGATCCTGGGGTGGGGTGCAGGAACAAAAGGAGCTTTGTTCAAGTTTATGTGAAAGTTACAAATTCAAAATGAGAGCAGATAAAGCATGAGATACCTGGTGTGTAAACATACTGGTGAGTGAGAAGGCCCCAGGCTCGGGAGGGAGAGAAAATGAGTGGGCAAACTGGGGGTGCAGGGGACTGGGAGCCAGCGACTGAAGCTCGCCTGGGGAGAGCAGCCGGTTTCCCCCGGACTCGTGTGGGGGGCCCGGGGGTGGGATTGCTGTGCAGGTCTCCGCTGTTTCTCTTGGAGGTGAGGCCTGTAAGGAGCTGGTTGCTCCAGGCCCAGGGCCCCAAGACCAGGAGGAATTGCGGCATTGGGCTTTCTGTCCCCCAAGTCCCAGGCACAGATGTCCTCACTGTGGCCTTGGCCTCAGGGTCTAAGGAGGTGTCACCACATTAGGATTCTCAAGTCAGAAATGGGTCACAGATGCCAGAGTTCTGGGCCTCTCCCCTTCCTACCAGCACACACCCGAAGAGAGACAGAAAAATGTGGGATCCCTCCATTATATGGTCTCTGACCCACATCCAGGCCCCCAGTGCCTCAGCCTTTTTCTCAGACCCTCTCAAATCAAAACACACCAAGAGGGCCTCACCTTCTGTGCCCCTGGGGCGTGTCCTCCATGGAGGCCCCTCACTCTTGGGCAGAGAAGCTCTTAATCCTATAGCGGCTGATGGTGGCCATCATCTCAGCAGAGCAGAGGCCCAGGGGGGCCCACCTCCCTCCACCAATGCTAGCTGCGCTTGGCAGCTCCCTCTGTCTGGCTCTGCCTTCCTTCCAGCTCACTTAGTTCTGTCCCTTCAGCCATTCCTCTCCAGTCTTCAGCCACCAGAGGCCTCAAAGTTATCATGCAGCCCATCTCATTGGCCTTGCCTCAGTAACTGGAAGGCATGTCCTTCCATGCCCTGACCACCAGCAGCAGCTGCCCACAAGGACTGGCGGGTCACATGTGCAGGGAGCTCCCTGTCCGTGCAGACACCTTCAGATGCACCGGAAAATTGCCCTTCTGCCCCTGTGTCGTCAGGCTTCCTTCTGCATTCCAGATGCCCTGACTGGGCAACAGACACTCGGGAGGCGGGTTTGGGATTGTTACAACCCAAAGCCCCAGACCTTGCTTCGGGGAGTCATGGGTGGTAGGACGAGTGTACCCCAGAGCAGCCCTGGATGCAGAGATGCCCAGTCTGAGATCCTGCATGGGGAACAGGAGCTCATAACCCATCTGCCTGGCTGCCCTGTGCCCGCAGTTGTACCAACCTCTGGGTAGCACGTGGCCTGGTTTGGTTAGGGAGCCTTGCTCCCTTATTCATAGTTTTAGGACCAGGAGACACTCAGTAAGCTTCTGGGTCTCCACCTACTCTTCCCACATCGGGATGGGGCAAGCCTAAAGGGCAGAGGGCTGTGACCACCAAGAACGCCAAGAAGGCATCGGGGAAAGCAGTGAAGTAGGTGAGGGATGCCAACCTCCTGTGAGGCCATTTGAAACTAAAGAGCAATCCAAGAAGAAAGAACAGGAAAGTGGGAGAAAGAGTAGATTGTTAACTCCCTGACTTCTTTGGCCCAAGGCCTCCTTGGGCCCCTCTTTTTGCAAAATAGAAATATTGCAAAAATAGGCCAGTGCCATTTTGCTGAATGCGGCCCAAAGACCAGAGAAAGACCTCCTCCTATTGAAGGCAGTGCGGCATCCCCTGAAACAGGAGAGGGAAGGAAGGCAGCAGGCTAGATCCAGAAGGGGCAGAGAGAGATAGTGAAAGCGAGATCCTGGTACTTCACTCGCACAACTGCCCACATTCCTGCTTGCCTGGCTGCCTCCTTCTTGAAGACCCCGCCAGGCCCAATGAGGAACTTGGGACGCTAAAATTTAAGGAATCTCAACTCATCTGGGCCACAGCAGGGATGTTTGGTGGCCATAGAAGGGTGGCCCACCAAAGTGACTTCTCTGAGAGGAAAGGAGAAGGGGCACCGGGTAGACGGAGGGGCAGGTGGCAGGACACTGGCTCCTGGTTGGGGTGGGGGGGAAGGGTGCCTGTGCCCTGTCTGCCAGGGCCTTTCAAGGGGCACAGCGCCAGAGGCAAGAGGGTGGGAAGGAAGCCCAAGTGATCGAGTTCCGAGAAGAGATAAAAGTTTCTGTCCTGGCAGGGTGAGAGAAGAAGGAGGTGCTGCCCACCTCCCCCCCCCCCCCCCCCCCCCCATTCCTAGCTGCGGAGCTGGATACTCCACTGCGGGGCAGGGGGAGATGGCCGAAGAGCAGGGCCGTGCGGCGGCCCGGGGTTGGCCCGGGTTGAGAGGCAGCCAGGAAACCGAAGCGGCAGAAACCCGGGTTTCCCCGCGCTCCTAGAGCTTGCGAGCTGTGCGAGGCGGACGCGCGTGTTTCCGAACACACCCAGCCCTGCCGCCCCGGAGTCTTCTCTTCTTCGAACTAAAAAAGCAACTCCACCAACAACATGCTGTTCGAGTACCAGGGGTAAACAAAACCCCTGTCACCCTGGCACCCGGAGTCGTGGGAGTGCGCAAAGAGGAGCGCGAGAGCGCGCGGCTCCGCGGCGCGACCCCACGGCGCTCACACCTGCGCACGCCCGCGCGGAAAAGTTTGCGCGGCCGCGCACGCCGCGAGCTCCGGGCCGACCAGCGCCTGCGAGTGAGTCCGCACGCCGCCGCTGCCGCTGCCGCCGTCAGGTCGCGCCTGTGAGGGCAGGAGCGCAGAGGGGGGCGTGCGAGCGCGTGCCCGCCCGCCGGCCCGCGTCCGGCCAGAGTTGGTGCGGGTGCACGAGCCTCCGCCAACGAGCGCCCGCCCCGCTCCTGCCGAGTCCCGCCTCCCTCCCCGCGAAGTCTGAGGTTTAGGGAATCAACTGAGCCAATAAGGCCATAAGGCCGGCCGCCCGAGCCGGTGCGCTGAGGCCTCGCGCGCACGCGAGGGAGTCGGCGCGTGTGAGGGAGGGAGCGAGCGCTGGGCGCGGGTGCGCGTGAGGAAGCGGGCGCGGCGCGGGCGAGCGCGAGCCCATTCACTCCGGCCTCCGGCGGGCGGGTGCGCGCGCGGGCGGGCCGAGCTCTGCTCTTTCACCTGCCGGGGCGGCGCGGGCCGGGCCCAGAGGAGGCGGCGCCCGGTCCTCCCTGCCAATCACCTCGGCGCCTGGCAGCGCCCCCGGCCGCTCCCGCCCACCCGCTCCCTCCTGCCAAACTGTTACCCTGAGTGTTACCGTCAGGAGCAATGACATCAGGGTTTTAAAACAACTTGTTATTCGGGGAGTAATCAGTTGCAATTAGGCATTAATTAAGTATTATGAAAGTTGATTATTTAAGTGAATTCGGCTTTCGACTCTCCGACTATGGTGAGTACCCGAGTGGGGCGGGGGAGGGCCGGGGGCGCGCCGCGGGGCTCCGACCCCCGCGCGGGGTGGGGGGCGCGGGTGGGGCGAGGCGGGGGCGGCGGGAGCCCTGTTGGACAGGCGGGCGGGGGCGCCCCTCGGCCTCGGGGGCCGGCCGGGCCCCCAGACCCGGGCCACGTCTATAAATAGTTTCTCTTTTAGTTTAATAAACTCGAGAGCAGAGCAGAGCTGCTCTGCGTGTGCAATGCGAGAGCGTGAGAGCGAGAGGAGAGGGAGGGAAAGTTTCGCTCTCCCTCCCCAGGCCCCCTTCGCATTTCTCCCCCAGTCCCGGGGACTTGTCGGCCCCTCGATGGGGGGCGCGGCGAGCGGAGGGGGCGGAGGGGGTGTGGAGCGGGGAACACTGCGAGAGACTAAACAGATTTTTTTTCCTTCCCTCTTATTTTTGCGGCGATCTTCGAAGAGTTTGGGACCAAGGAGAGGAGAATGGATCTTGGTACAGGTACCGGCCGGTGGGAACCGGGGGGTGGCTCTTTCACTTTTCTTTCGGTTCTTTTACGGAAGTTATTATTTTTAGCCCAATGAGGTAGCAGCTGGGCGGGGGGCGGGGGCTGGCCAGAAGAGGGTCCGATGCCGCCGCGCTTCTCGCCCTGGTTTCTGGATTGCGAGGCTCCGGATGATATTATTGTTATTATTTGTTACTTGCTTGGTGACTATGACTAATTTAATGCTTGTCATTATGAAAGAACGGAGGGCAGACCGAGCTGGGGGGCACCCAGAGAGAGGATTTAGGGGGTTTTTGTGGGGGTTTTTGTTCTCCATGTTTTTTGAATGGCTCCGTGTGTTTTCTGTGTTTTTTAATCCCTGCAAAGATCTCTGTGTGTCTGGCTGTGGGGTGTGTGTTTTTATTTTTTTAGTGGGGGGTGGTTTAGTTTTTGAAAGCAGCGTCCTGTTGGGAAAGGTGGTTAGTCTGGTTTCGGGGCGACTGTCTCAAGGTAAAGGAATTTAATTTATTTGGGACAAGGCTGTGTCGGATGATCAAACTGCTTATTATGGCTAATGAGTATTTTTCACCTGAGAATCCGTGGGATGAGGCGGCTGTTATCAGTTCAAAGTGCTGGGCCCAGGACTCTCCCCCATCCCCCTTTCTGGCCCCCACCCTTGGACTGTGTACACCAAACAAACTACCACATTTGGTCGTCTGGATTTTGTGGGGGGCTAATATGGCGCCTGGGCCAGGGTTCCAGAGAGCATGGTGCTGGCCTGGGGCAGAGTGTGTCCAGAGATTTGGGTGTTTTACTGGCTTTAATCTAATTTTGCTCCATATTTCTGTTTTCTTACCATCTGGGGTTCCGACCTGAGCCCAGAGTGAGGTTCACTGCAGCTCCTCGGGCTGCTGCACCCCGTTGAAACCAGGTTTGGAGCAGGACCCTTAGACCCTCAGCTGAGAAAAGCAGCTGGCTTCTTCCTAAACGTTTTTAAGAGAAGGTGGCCATAAACAGGCTGATCTCTGAACCCTCCTGTGACACCGATAGGGGGACAAGTGCGATCGGTGGCTGTTCGAGTTGTTGTTTATAATGGGCCCAAGTTCATAGCATTGTCTCTGGGGACCCATGAGCTGACATTCGACCTTCTGAGGTCAAAGGGGATTGGGCAGAGAAGACAGAAAGACAGCACCAAGGGCCCGGGGAGGGCAGCCTGGTGGTTGGCTTTGGGAAGGCTGTGGTGGGAGTGAAGGGGTTGTTTGAGAAGTGTTAAGACTCCACCCAGCCAGATATAGTCCCGGTGTACCTGAAGTGGAGGTCCTAAGGACCTTTGTGCCTAGGAAGGGTGTGACACCCCCTGCTGGGCAAAGTGGTGAAGGTGTCTAAGGCCTCTGCTACCACCCTGCCCCTCCCTGCCCCTCCCTGCCCTCCACTCCCACAGGGGAGCAGCCCGCCCCCACCTCTAATCAGGTGTCTCATCACCTCCCTCTCAGGCCCCACCCCCTTTCTTCGGAAATGGGGCCCCCACCCATCTCTACAAGAAGCACACCTTACAGATGGGCCAGGTAATGCGCCACCCACTACCTGGGGCAGGCCACACCTCTGCTTGTGGGCCGGCACATGGGACCCTGCCATTACTCAGCTGGGAGGCGGGGCCTTCTTTGTGTTCCGCCTTCTAACGTGGGTGCCAACTGGAGCTGGCGTCCATCCTGCCCTGCACCAACCAGTCCCTCCCAGCAGACTCCAGAGCCCTTCTGTAGGGTGTCCCAACTAGGGAGTAGGCCTCCTGGGCTTGCAAGGGGCAGAACCTCTAGTAGCGTCTCTCCCGGGCTGTACGGAGACTCGGTTCTCCCGGTGCGACAGGCACAGCGTTTGGAAGCGGCGGCGTTTGGAAACTTTTCCTAGAAGCTAGAAGGGCCCCTGAGGTCAGCTGGTCCCTCTCGTAGCCGGAGCAGGGCACTCCCAGCACAACCCAGGCCTGGACTCTGGCCACCAGTGAGGGGAGGTCCAGGGTGTCAAAGTTCTGACTGTTTCTGGGAGGAGTCATCTGGTGATACCATCTCAGCCTTTTCTTTGAACTTGAAAGTTTCACTTAATCTCAGAACTTCAGAAGAAAAGCACTTTTTCCCCTCTTCACTAAAAAAGGGAAGCAGGTGGGAACTCTGAGATCCCCTCCGAGCCATCTCTGGCTAACTCTGCGGTCATCTTTCCTCCCCCTCGGGGACATACCCCTGGACACAGCCAGGGCCAGGGGCCTCATTTGTGGGCTGGGCTCATTGCTGGTGTGGTGAGGGGTCGTCTTCTTTTGGGGGACTCTGGGCAGCTGCCACCCAGGGCCTGTCTAGCGCAGCAGGAGGCCGGAGGCACAGGCCCCAGAGGCTGCGAGCCCCAGGGACCCAATAAGCCTTGGATCAGGGCTTAACATCGCCTCCAGCCCGGGACAGCTCTCAGCCCTGCAGCGCTACAGCTACAAGTGATTCAGTGGTCGGAGAACCACGGCTTCTCAGGAGGGGACAGCAGGATCTCAAGACCCTCAGGGGCCATGTGGATCCCTTTTCCCCCACCATAGTTCAGCCAAGGGCTGGATCAATCTGGACGTCTTTAGCAATAAAAAATGCCGATGTCGTCCTAATTCACCAGGCCCCGAGATGACAGCAAATTTACATTTTTTAATTAAACTAGCAGCCAGTTTTTATGAGAGGGGGTTGGGTTATGCAAATCAAATGGTTGTGTACGGAAGATTAGGAGAGTTTGGGAATAAATTCCACAAATGCTAATAAAAAAAAAAGGAAAGAGAAAGAGAGGGAGGGAGGGAAGAGAGAGAGGAAGAGAGGAGGACATGGTTCCATTAGGCCCTTTTAGAGTGATTTCCCGGGGGAGGGAGGCGGGAGGAAGCTTTCAGACGCAGGTAGGTCCGTCCTGCAGTTGGGAAGCTCCTCAGGGGTAGGCCCCACTGGGCCAGTTCCTGGGCAGAACTGGAGGCCAGGCGACAGTGGCTGTGAAGGGGCAGTAAAGCTTTGAAAGGGAACTTTCCCTTGATTTCCTGGGATCTGGTTACAGTTGCTCCACTCTCTCTAAGGGGAACTCGAGAAAAAGGGGAAGGGCTGTTCAGAGTTAGAGCTGCCCATCAGAGGGTTCAAGGCAGGCTCTGCCAGGCAAAGGACCGAACAGGCACGTTCACAGGGATGGCCAGGGACCACTTGGCACCAAGTCTGCAGCAGCCATGTCGCAGAGGCCAGTGGGTGGGACGAAGCAGGGCCGGGACTCCAGGCGGAGTCCCCCTTGCATGCACGCAGACCCCCCAGGGCATCCTGGCCCAGGCCCTGGCTGTGCAGGAGGCCGGGAAGGACAGGGTCCAGGGAGCTGAGCCAGGCTGGCAGGGCAGCCTGGTTCTCGGAGCGGAATTTCCTAGTAGCCACGTGCTTCCAGGGCACAGTCTTGAGGTAGGAGAAGAAAGGCTGCAGGCTTCTTCCAGGTGGTGTCTGATCCCAGGGGGTGAGGAAGTTGGCGTTCGCAGGCCAGCCTCTGTGTGTGCTGCTTAGGCCCCTGCCGCCCAGAGTGTCAGCCCACCTCCAGGCTCATAGGACCTTCTGTGAGCCTCCCATTCAAGGCCGGCACCTGCCAGGAGTGGAGGCTTCTAGGAACCTTGCTGGATCCGATTACACCTTGGACCCGTGTGTGCTGGGGATTGGGAAGGTTCCTGTGCTGATTCTGCAGGAAGAGAGTCCGCGCCGGGCTTGGGGCAGAGCAGGTCGCCCTCGGTCTGCCTTCCTCAGGCCTTTGCTTGGCCAGATACACCCACTCGACCAGTCTAAGCCAGGGCCGATCCCTGCGGTAAGGTTGGGCACCGGTTTTGCCAGTCTGCTGTGGGGGGTAGTGCCATCTTGGCAAGAAGGAGCAGGCAGAGCCAAGGACAGAAGAGGCCCTGTCGGAAGTGGCGAGCTTCCTGGTGCCGTTCAGACGGAGGCTGGCTGTGGTGTTTGGAGGGACTGGAGCATCAGGTGACATGCAGGGTCTCTGGCCCCCCGACTCCCAGCTGGATCTCACTGGGAGGAGTCAACGGGCCCATCTTGTGGGGGGACAGGGTGAGGAGGGTATCGTTTGGACCTTTTCTCTCGAAGGAAGCGCTTGGGACAGGCAGTCGTGGGCCGTGAAGCGGCTTCTTCCCAGCGCTGCCTGTGTCGTATGTGGGACATCAGAGCAAACCCAAGATGAAAGACCCAATGGAGCCATTTCCTTCCAACGGGGGGCGGAAGCCGCGAGGGTGGGTCTGGAAGGATCCCTACCAGACACCCTGCCAGGCGCTTTCCCCCGGTAGGGACCAGCCAGGGAACCCCATCGCCTCTCCTCTCCCAGAAGGGCCCTGGGGCCAGTGTTAGACCTCTCTGCAGGCCTTGCTGTCAACCCTGGGTCCCCTCGCCCGCCATGGCCAGGGAGTCCGGCTGGGTAACAGCTTGGGTTTTTATGATGGAAAAATAAAATAAATGGAGGCACCTTTGGAAGGCTGAGTCACGGCAGCAACATCTCCTCATTAAAGCTGCTGCCCTGGCTCAAGTCCCCTGGCAGGGGATTGGGTGGAGCCCGGGGAGGCTCCAGGCCCTGACTCCTCCCCTTCCTAGACCTTGCCAGGTTCGGGATGCTCCTGCCCCTTCGGTCGGCCTCCTCCGCAGGCTGGCCCACCATTCTTAGAAGGATCGGGCTGTGTCTCCCACCCCACCCTCCACCCTCCACCCCCCACCCCAGGGCACGCCGCCCTCCCTGCCACTAGTTTTAACCCTTGACCACCCTGACTGAGGCCACTCCTCCTCTCCCTCTCCTCCTCCTCTTCCTCTTGATGCTGCTCCCCCTCCTCCTTCTCCTCCTCCTCATCTTCAGGGGGAAGGAAGTTGCTCTGTAGTAATTACAGCCTGTGGGTCCCCAAGGCAAGCAGCAGCTGTTCCGGGATAGCTAGTCCAGGGTACAGCAGGAGGAGGAAGGAGCTAGGGAGGAGGAGGTGGTGGAGGAGGAAGAGGAGGGC